AAAGCTGACGTTTCGAGCGTTAGCCCTTCATCAGGTCGAATGACGAAGGGCTAACGTTCGAAACGTCAGCTTTTTAACTCTTTACGGTGGCCAATTTATAATTACAACTTAGTTGATATTACCAAATTATTTTTTTACCCCCATTGACGCAGCACCACAGTTTCTTTAGAAACGTACCCCCTCTGTTCATCAATTTTTAAGAATAGCTGATTTCAGTTTGTATAATGAAGAAGAGTTAACATGTTTAAGCCGTGTAAGGCATCTAATTAAGGCCGATCGGGGTTTTTATCAAAATTCCTTAAGTTATATCAAAATACAATAGGCTGCACAGGAGGGAATGCAGAATTTAATCTTCCATGTTCCACGGTCCTGCACGCTCCTTGCTCGTTACAAGTCACTCCCACTCCGCCGGCCGCCTCGCTCGTTAACGTTGTTCCCACTCGGTCAGCGAAGTGCACCAAAAATAGAGATGCAGTGTGTGCAAAAGCATGAGAATATCTTCAGCTTACTACCGAGACCAGACACACACCAAATATTGATGTGTCTTGCTCCCATAGACTCTTAGGCAGTTGCTCATGTGCTGCAAGTTGTACTCCGTGGCTGTGCGAAGTGACTCTAAAAATAGGCATACGATACGTACATACGCGGAAAACTTGATACTTTGTTGATTTTCTCCTCTGATTCGTTCACATCAGATGACAGGCTCCACGCGCCCTAAAGGACGATGGCTTGAACAACAGAAGCAACAGTATCTGAGAACTCCTCTCATTAATTCAGGGCTCAGGAATGCGAAGATAACCGGGTTTCTAGAAGAGCTAGATATCTGCATAATTATAAACAAAACATAAACTATTTAAGAATGTTCAATCGATGAATTTTCAAATACTCTATACACCTCAAGCAATTGCAATACTAAAATTGGCGCCCAGCAGAACGCAAAAGCTAGGACAGCAGTGACCATCAAACAAGTAGATTTCTCTTGGCAACTGCCATGTGAATTGTTCCATTTTTGCTTCTGTTCCATAAACTTACAGCTATCCTTGCGTACGCGAAAAATATGTACAACAAAGGAACAAAAAACGCCAGCACAAAGTAGAAGGTTCTTAAGAGCTGATCTTTCCAGTCAGTAGGTAGCGTACAGTAGCTATACTCTTCACAACTTTCGGTGCCATTGTTTTGTTTGGAGCAAATTACGGCAGAGAGGCTCTTGATACTGTAAAAAAACGGGTGAGACGTTATTAAGGCGTAACACCAAATCGAGACAACCAAAAGTAGATACGTCGAGACTGCTGTCAGCAGTTTTGTCTATATATTTATTACAGGCCAATTAATATTTAAGAAATTGGAATATACATAAGTCATAATTACTGAAAAATATAAGGTTTTTAGGTGATCAAACAAACATGAATTCTGTCACAAGAGCGCAAACTAGGTTGTCGCAAAGGATTTTATGGTAGCCATTAATTAATGTAAAAATGTTATGGGTGGGTTTTACGCGGGAAAAAATCCTATTACACTGAACAAAATTTTCTTTCACCTTCCTGGCTAAATCGTCCAATAGGCGGTCTATAGTTTCGCAGCCTTCCTCCTGAGGAGTACAATCGCATTTTATTTGTAAGGCTAAGATACAAGTAACCGAAATATCACCGCACATGTAAATATTCGGTATGTACTCATAGAAATAAACCTGAGTATTCAAATTTACGAAAGGATGTTATACATTTGAATGTTTGGTTAAATGGCTGGGGTTGGTAGAGATCACTGTAGCTCGATTCATTTGTTTATTTTGCAAGAATCACCTAAACAAGAGTACATCTGTTTTCCGCGTTGATCAATTTTTAGACTTCAGGTGCACCATTTTTTATCAGGGTTCAGAATGGCGCCTGCTACGTTTTATTTCATCTCAGACACCTTTGGACTCACCAATAAATTTAGAATTGATGACGACACTTTCTTAACACCTCAATTCAGTCTTAGGAATAGCTGATTTCAGTTTGTATAACGAAAAAGAGTTAACATTTTTAAGCCGTGTAAGGCATCCAAGTAAGGAAGACCTTCTTATGCAGCTCATGCATGTGAGATCTGTAAGAAAGGGCACTCAGGGTTTTATAAAAATTTCTGTCAGTTAGATCCAAATGCAATGGGGGTGCGCAGGAGGGAATGCAGAAATTATTCTTCCATGCTCCAAGGTCCCACACGCTCCATGCTCGTTACAAGTCACTCCCACTCCGCCGGCCGCCTCGCTCGTTAACGTTGTTCCTACTCGGTCAGCGAAGTGCACCAAAAATTAAGATACCGTGTGTGCAAAAGCATGAGAATATCTTCAGCTTATGACACAGGCCAGAAAGACACCAAATATTGATGTGTCTTGCTCCCATAGTCCCTTGGGCTTTATGCTGGTCACCAGTTGCTCATGTGCTCCACGTTGTACTCCGTGGCTGTGCGAAGTGACTCTAAAAATAGGCATGCGGTACGTACATACGCGGAAAACTTGATATTCTGTTGATTTTCTCCTCTGATTCGCTCACATCAGATGACCGGCTCCACGCGACCTAAAGGACGATGGCTTGAACAACAGAAGCAACAGTATCTGAGAACTNGGGCAAAACTCGCATCAACCTCTCAACCAATCAGATGCAAAACTAGAGCCAATCACGACTTGGTCACCCGCGTTTAACCCGCGCTTCCAAATCAACAGACTTGTCAAACTAATTTATGGGTAAACGAAAGCAGCTTCAAGGAATAATTACTTATCAGATCTCTCTATTAAAGTATAATTAAGCTGATTTTAGGGACTCACCAGCCCCCTCAAAAAAAATACATCTTTTCATTGGAATACAGCTTCTTTTTTTTTCGGAGAAAAAAGAAGGAAAATGAGTTAAAAAATGAGTTAAAAATGAATAAAAGCTTTTTAAGTATTTTACTTTACAAAATTCTTGTTTATATATTATTTACAAGTACAGCAATGCAGTCATGTTGCTGTTCAAAGAGACGGAGAAATTCTCAGCTGAGTGGTGGTGGAGGTAAAAAAAAAACCCTTGGGCTCCTCCCTCAACTTCTTTTTATTTATTTATTTATTTATTTACTTATTTATTACGAATATATAGACAGGGTAGCTCAGTTCAGAAAATAGCTGGTTTAAATGGGGCCCTGTGACTTCGCCACACTCATGTGGAACCCTGGGAAAGGTCTTGATGTTGTGCACTGGAGTTCTCTTGGTTGGGTACGAACTCAGTTCAAATGTGTTGCTTTCTGTGTACGCACGGCTGAGACGAAAAAAGAATAAATTAAAAAAAATTAAAAAAATGAAACGTAATATTTACAGGCCATCCCAGCGGTGACGCACCCGCTTCCTACTGCGCTGGCCTGGGTTCTTTTCCCAAGTGGGTCGTGCACGTCCCGGGGACTTTTACTGGTTTTCCTCCAATGTACAAAATTAACCTGTTTAGTAACTTCCAACTCGGGCTTGTACCCACACTCAGATTCTTTTGAGAAAGTCACATACTGGCTGATTTTATTCCATCTCATTTTATTTTCAGCACCTTGACTCAGACTTACATGTAAGTCGGCGCAGAAAGACCTAACAGGGGTAATTGCGCGAGTTTACAGTAATCGAGCCTGTAAAAAGTTACCATAGACAAGGGGATAAGGAATGAAGTCGTAACACTTACTTCGGGTCTGTTCCTTCATCGTCATCATTGTCAGGATTTCAAATGGAGCGCGCGTTCCACAGCTTCACACAGTTATCCACTCGACCTGGAAGGAAAAATAAAATAAGTGCAAATGCTTTCTTGCTGAGAAGCAAAGACAAAAATAGCGACGTGCTGTTAACCATAAACTAAAACTTCATGCATGCCTTGCGGGCTTATACTTCACATACACTCATTCACTCGCAGCCAATGGAAATATCATGGATAATGTACTTGAAGTGCATTACCCACAAAAAATATGAAAAATTACAAACTGGATAAGACCCAAAAAGTCGTTGCTAAACATAGAAATATTATATAAGGCTTTGCCAGTTTTATTCTTTGACTTTGTTTGAAGCAAAAACAAAACAAACCTGAAGCCAGCAGATTCCCATCTCTGCTAAACATCAAAGAGTACACAGTGTCTGAGTGTCCTTTTAGCTCGGTCAACAATGCCCCTTCCGCGAGATCCCAAACTAGAATACCCTTATCAACGCCTAAACGATGAATGGAACAAGAGCAAAAAGTTAGTCAATGTGGAAGAGACTCGTGCAATGCGCAAACGTCTTTGCATCCGTCAAAAGGAATCCTCAGTGGAAGGTGCAACGGAAACAGATACGGACGACGTAAAATAGAAATTAATTGAAAAATAATAAGGAAAATGGTAATGAAATCGTGATTACAAAAAAACAGTGGTCTAACATCTGTGCATGTGTCCGTACTTCCAGACTTTCACAACCAAGTTGTCTCACACAAGTCACAAACAAGAACACAAACCATCATGTAGCGGTGTTTCAAAAGTACATAAGTTTTTAGGTAAAGCCAGGAGTCTATCAAATGAGTTTCCTTTTCCAAATTTGTTTTTTTTTCCTTTTACAGATTTCTTTGATTACTTCAATTTTTTCGCTAAATTTGCGAGACAACGGTTGTTTCTCTTGTTTTCCTTTGAAAATTTGCGCGGGAAATAAGCCTGCGGCCGGCGAGAATTGAAACCCTTGCGCATGCCCGACGTTTAGCCACCGTGTTAGTCTTTAAGGGCAGGAAACAAAGGACATCTCATCCGAAGAAGCTAAGACGCGTTTATCAGGTGAAAACGGCAGTGCGGAATAGATCCCTCCTTGTAAGATGACGTAAGAAACCATGGTAGTTGCAAAATAAGCAAAATGAAATCATCTTAAATGAGAACAGAGACAGCAATCATGCCCAATCTCCCATTATGAGTAGAAATTTATGGAGAGGAATCGTTTGCTAAACATTTAGGATGTAAAAGGATTTTAAAAACAAACGCCTAACAACTTGTTTTTCCCTATCATCCCGAGTACAAAGAGTACCAACATCTTTCTCGGTTATCATTTCGATTCAAGACGAAAGTTCTAATATGCGATTCTGAATGCAGTCAATTGCATACTGCCTGCTACCCGGATATCTCTCCTTTAAGAGGGCGGTGTGCAGAGTGTGGATGTGCGCATAGGTGGAGACCTGTTGGCCTTCTCTTTAATCATCATGCACTTCGTTCCAAGTTCCCCCGACAAAAAAGGGACGACGACTGGGACGAGGTAGATGTAAAAGTCTAATAAAATGAGGCGAGACGCAAGTAAATCGCTTGATTTGCGCTTATAAGTTAGTTTCAAATCGAGATGAAAAGTAGAAAAACAGATAAAAATAAAGATAAAATAAGGATAATAAATAAAGATAAAATAAATAAAGATTAAAATAAATAAAGATAAATAAAGATAAAATAAGACCACACAAAAAAGCCAACCTGTGGTCCATTATTCTTTTAAGTACGTCCTCTGTTGAGGTTTTTATTTCGTTCAGAATCTTTTGAATATAGTCTATGAGTTAAAACTACGAGGTAATACTCCGAGTTTTCAATCAGTTTACTTCGAGCCCTTATTTACTTCTACTGGCTTGAACTTATGTTCTGATTGCCTATTCTATTTACTCTTGCCTAGTAGTTACGGCACTCAACACTTCTTTTAACCAAATCCAAATACTAATTTCAACCAGTTGATCACGTGAAAACGCGCGATCTCTCATCGTCCACATTCCTTACCTGCTCCCTTATCAATTTGGGCGAGTTCCGACGGCAATTTGAGCATGCGCAGTTTCTTGGGAGTGAGGCTCCATGCACTAACACTGCTGCCATCAAATCCACCCAATAGCAGGCTCGAAAGTTTTTGAGATCATTTGGTAAGAAAGGTAACAAAGAGGGAGAATTGGACCATCCTCGGGGAATACCATTTCATAATAATGACAATATTTTCGTGGCTGACAATCATAATTATAGAATTCAGATTTTCAGCGGTGAGGGTGAGTTTGTGGGAAGTTTTGGTGAGAAAGGAAACCTTGACTATCAGCTTACTAATCCCTTGGGTTTATCTGTAGATAGTGAGGGAAATGTCATTATTACAGACGCAGATGACAAACTGATCAAGATCTTTTCTCCTGAAGGCAAGTTTCTAAGTAAATTAGGTGGGCAAGGTTCTTTAAAGTTTCCTGTCCACTGTATTTAGTATGATAGTTATCTCCTAGTGTCAGACAAAGATGAAAACTGTATCAAACTTTTTCAGAGGAATGGAAACTTTCAGTACAAGTTTGGAAAGGAGGGTACTGGGGACGGAGAGTTAAATAATCCAAGATATTTACTAATTTCAAGCAGTTAGTCAAGTGACACAACAAAATACTAATTACCTAATTACCTTACCTGCTTCCTTATCAATTTGGGCGAGTTCCGACGGCAATTTGAGCATGCGCAGTTTCTTGGGAGTGAGGCTCCATGCACTAACACTGCTGCCTTCAAATCCACCAGATAGCAGGCTCGAGTCGTTTGATATGGTGACCGAGTTTAAAATACAAAATTTGAAGGAAAACAAGAAATAGAAAGCAAGTCAGTTGACAAAATCAAACGTCAAAAGCAAAAAAAAAGAAAAGGAAAAAGGAAAAAGAAAGAAAAAAAAACGACCACAAGCGGAATTACAGTGGATTGAAAGTTATCTTCTTAGAAATGTTGAAGGGACGCCCTAAATAAGAGGTCACTAATTCCAGTTCCGACAAAGAGAAATAATGTCAAACAATACAAAGTAATATTTTACATGCAGGAAATCTTGTCGTTCCTTATAAACTCGTTCTTGTTCCTAATAAACATAAGTTTTTGCTAAGAAATATTAAAAAATCCTCTTATCTCTTTTTAAATGGTATCCCCGTAAACCACTTTCATAAATGGCTGCCGGATTAATATTCTTTTGTTTAAATTTAAATTAGCCCTACTGGCCTCGTTCTCCAGTACAAAATTCTAAAGAATACATCATCTCAAGCGAGGCCAGTAGGGCTAATTTAAATTTAAACAAAAGAATATTGTTACGAGTTCGAACGTTTTGAGGAAAGTTTGTTCGGCACTAAACTGAACGCAGGGTTGCCGGAACAACAACAAGAAGATTTATTCAAAAAATGAACGTAATTTCCACAAGTTAAACTCTAAGCAACTCGTACTCGACAAACTTACACGGCCTCCGCCAACTTGAATAAATACAGCTCTTGTCACGCTTGACTAAACACGGCTAACTCCAACTCTGTTCGCTTGTGAAAGATTAGTTAAAAACTTCGCTAGGACTCGTCTACTTATATACTCTTACAATAGGCTTCTAGAATTCTCTAAATTAGTAATAGTTCTAATTATAGAAGGATTACAAAATACACCGATTTAGAAACGCTCACGTACGAACCTAAAAATAAACAAACAACGAACTCTCGCGAAGCCTCTAGAATGTAGCGCTAGTCACGCAATACTATTTTTCGTAACATAACCCCCTTCTAGAAGAAATTTCCTAAATTTATCCTAAGTAAGAAAAATTGCGAAATAAGGTGCAGTTCAATGTTAGCAAACTTAATCCTCTACACGACTCAAGTAATCTGCTCCAACGTTCTCTGAGCCTTTAATGGCTTCAACTCTGAATGAATAGCTTTGCAAAAACATAGCCCAACGCATAAGGCGTCCGTTGTTAAACTTAGCACTGTTCATATACTTTAAGGGTTCATGGTCCGTCTGAAGAACAAAAGAAACTCCGTACAGATA